TCGAAGTACAGCTACTCGAGAGCAAAACTTATCATGCATTGAGTAATCTTGCCAAGGCTCGAGCTGCGCTAACAAGCGCTCGAACCACTGCGAATGCCATTTACTGTCCTCCTAAAATGCAAGCTGCATTAGACTTGATGTCTGGAATCCTTCATGCTGCTGATGAACGAGACTTTAAGACTGCCTACTCATATTTTTATGAAGCTTTTGAAGGGTATAAATCATTGATTTTATTTATATTTGTGTGCTTTTATTTTTATATTTTAATAATGCTTTCGTTTAAAAAGCAGACAGTGAATTATTTAATAAGTGGTGCTATTGAAATTTTTAACGACATTAGTTAATTAATTATTTTTACTTCAGCTATGATAGCGTTGAAAGTCCCAAGGCCCTTACAGCACTGAAATACATGCTACTCTCAAAAATTATGCTCCGTGCACCTGAAGATGTCCAAACCATCATGTCAGGTAAATTAGCGGTGAAATACGCTGGACGTGATTTAGATGCAATGAAAGCCGTAGCCGAAGCGAGTCATCGTCGATCTCTTGCTGATTTCGAAGCAGCTGTCAAACAATACCGTCAGGAACTTAAAGAGGATGTTATTGTGCGCGCCCATCTCGATTCATTATATGATACAATGTTGGAACAAAATCTTTGTCGAATAGTTGAACCTTATTCGCGAGTACAGGTAAATAAAAACCAGAATAATGCTACATTTGCGTATGCATATGATATTAAATGTGTTTGCTATGAATAAGTAAAAAAAGTATGTAAAGTATGCGTCTATGAAAGATAAAATTTTGCTTAAATAGGTGGGTCACATAGCATCCTGTATTTCTCTATCCATCTCGCAAGTAGAGAAAAAATTATCGCAAATGATATTGGACAAGAAACTGCGTGGTGTCCTTGATCAAGGTGAAGGAGTTTTGATAGTCTTTGAAGATACACCAAGAGACAAGACCTATGAAATAGCATTAGAAACAGTGCACAGTATGGGAAAAGTTGTAGACACACTATATCAGAAAGCCAAGAAGCTTACCTAGCCTTATTTAACTAAAATTTGTACAATTAACAAACTATTATAATCATTATTATTACTATTAACGACTAGCTCCTTATTAAATACCGTCGATAAATTGCATTCTTGTTTTATATTAGCCAAGTCTGCAATTTACTTTTACCATTTTCAACGGTTTGCCAGATTCTGTACTTAATCGTTGGAGAAGCCAAGTCATTTATTAAAATTATTTGAAAGAAAATTCTTAGAAAAATTTAGAAAAATCGTTTTTAAAATATTCACATTTTGAAATTTGATAAATAATTTAAATAAATAATCATGTAAAATAAATTGGATTATCTTTACCAATTTGCATAAATATTCAATGGAAAGAGGGTTAAGAATTACTTAAGCTTGAAAATTATTTTTATTATCAACATAATTGCAGAAATTGTTTATCCATAAAAAATAACATCTTATAAAATTTAAAACTAAAAAAAAACAAAAAACAAAAAATTAAGTTAAAATTTCTTCAAAAAAAAAAAAAAACGTTAACATTCTTCCAAATTCCATATCAATTAATTATACGTATATCCTAAACCTAAAAGTATAAAAGGAGCCTATTTTATTGCACCATCTTTCCTGCATATTATAAATGATTTTTACAATTTTTATTAATTTTTTTAAATTGCACTTTATATTTTAATTCAGTGTATATGGAATGTATATTTTATGAAAAATCGAAGGGAGTAACACTTTAAGTTTTAAATTATATAGAATTTAATAATAAATATGCACTCGCGTTTTCAACAATAATTTTAAACGTGTTTTACGTTTTTTTTGTATATTTTTAAAAAAGGAAACTTTGTGATTCAAATGTTATAAATAATGCTTATCGTTACAAGAAAATTTTCAATAATGATGTAGAGTAATAAAATTTTTCGCTTTTAATAAACATTTGACTTAATTACTTCGGTAACGTAAGTTTAAAATGTCATCGGTAATAATAAATTTTCAATTTTAATAGAATTATGTTAAAATTATTTTAGTTACCAAAGCATTCATTTTACGAGTTTACTATTATAAAATATACAGTTTGTTTCTGTTTTTAATAATTCAATCCAATAAACTATCGCGTACTGCAAATTATTTTAGGATTTAGGTACATAATTTATTCCACATTACGAAAGAAGCGTAGTAGAATAAATAAACTTTTAATCTCGACATTTGCAATCAAATTTACTTTAGTTATGCACTGTGAAACTTTCATAAATGCATAATTTAGTATGTTCATTACAATTTAGTAATTTAATTGTTTTATTTTATACTTAAATTTACAAACATTTCATATACTGATTTGCATACAACCCAAAATTTGATAAATTAATTGCACAAAAGGGATTATTCAGACTGCTTAAAGGTAAAGTATATAAATATTTATGAATATACATTTTAATATTATATTGTATATACGTGCACATATACAAATTAAGACATTTATTGTCAAGTTTCTAGACATTAATCGAACATTTATACTTTTATTAAAAAATAATCTAAAATGTATGTAACGATTTTTTAATATGCTTATCGTAACTCTACAATAGTTTTATTCATCATATAATAAAAATTATATCCATTATTGTTTAATAAAGATAATGAATACATTATTTTATATTAAATATATTGTTTGATTTACTGGTATATTATGAAATAAAATTGTAGTAGATACAAAGCAGGTAAGAATATTTATCAAATTTGCATAATTTATATACCATTAACAAAAGAAAAGAAATTAATACAAATATTAAGGAGAAAATTTGAATAAACAAGTTGATACACATTTTTACGATACTAAACGAAGCTTATTAAGTATAAAACTTTCACTCTCAAATAAATGAAATTCACCATGAAAGTTATATTTTTTTGGAACTTTATTTATTACAATAATAGATACAGGTTTGCAATGAGTAGTAGACATATAATTTAAAATTAATTATTATTAATTATTAATTTAACAACGAATCTACGAAACTCATTAAAATCTACATACAGATATGACAGTAACGCTTGCTAATATAATCTACTTATATACAATCTTCTTCTTATGGAGCCTTCAAAATCATTATTTTTTTTACCTAACCGATAAAAAATAAATGGAAATAAACCTAAATATTAAAAAAAAAAAAAAAAAAACGACTAAAATTAGGTGCGCAGAGGCTCGGGGATATACAATTATGGTGTGCGTCAGACATTGTGTGAATGGATTGCTTTGTATAATATTAATTGTTTTTATTAACTTCATTTTTAAAATGTAGAACGCAATGGATATGAATTTTCATTTAAAAATCCTTCTCTCGTCTTGAATAGCAAAAGAAAATGTACAGAATATAAATATATGTCTTTTTGTCGCTGCTTACGCTACGATTTCATTTCGCCTTATATTATGAAACATCGATAAAAAATCAAAATGCAGCAAAACTAAATTACGCATAAATCGCATACTAGTGAAAGTATATAATGAATTTATGTACACATTCAAATGGATGCACGAACACACGTAGCGATTACATCAAAACAATATGTAATTTAATTTTACGTGTCGTTTAAGATCATGACTCGTGTACACCAATTAATGAATAATATGTATGCTATTCACGCATAATTTACGTATGAATGATTTTTTCTGGTAAAATTCAAATTAATAATAATAAAACTGAGATCGAGAGACTGTAAAAAGCATGTATTACTAGGAAAATTGCCTTGGCAATATAATAATAGTTTCACATGATTCTGATCGAGTTAGATATATTATTGCACAGTGTAATGTATTTCTTTTCTGTTCTTTCTTCATCTAATTCTTCTTCTTCTTTTTACTTATTTATTTTTTTATTATTTATTTATTTTTTTTTTTTTTTTTTTAAATCATTAAACATTAACACTAAAGAAGTAATAAAAATTGAAGAAAAAAAAATGTACGAGCAACAACAAATAGCTATACATATGCAATGGCTTATACAGTAAGAACAGACACGTTTTCGTTTCAACATTAATATTTAGGAAAATAATCGATTGATTTTACGATTTGAAATTGACATTTGAACATATATTTTTTTAACATCGTTATACCAAATTGATGGGAACGGAGAATTATCACAGTGCTCTTAGTAATAGCCGATGTAATCAAGAGCGGCCGTTCCTCGAATACAATAAAGGATCCAAACAACCATCTATGGCAAAGCCACTTAAACCGACCGAAGTTAATAAAAGCTACGGTTACGAGGAGCGACAAAATCGCCAGGATCCATCCCTTGAACACACCTCTCCGTTATTTTACACAGCATAATGAAGCGCAGCTTATTTCCCTCCATATAATCATCGCAGTTTTACCGATAATACAGGCTGTCTTACGAGAGCATTAAGTATTTGCACAGATCCGTAAGGTATTCGCAGAACAAAGCTTATTTGCAGACGAAATGGGATGTAAATTGACTTTTTTGAAATCTATAAATGAATCCCTGCTTCCCAAAGCTATTAATATACATGCTCGTCGCGCACAACTCCAGGCTCCGCGATTTTACAAATCGATAATAAAATAAAAGTGTTGTCGCTCGTTATAAAGTATTTTGCTTACATGACATTGTACATAAGACCTTGCTATGCATCCCCCCCCCCCTCACACACACACACACACACACACACACACGCACACACGCACACACCCACCCTCTTCATCGTTACCGCCAAATGATAATAAGAGGTGGGAGGTGGATGGGCAGAGCGGCTGGAGGGGCGGGAAGAGGAGAAGCAAGTCGCCGGTAGAATAAGCGAGCTAATCGAACTCGAACGAGGCTCGGGTTCCTTGATAATGCATCATCGCTACCTTTGCCACCAGGCCACCAACGCGAACACTCTTTTGGAAAGGACAGCTTGGACAACGAGTAAGTCCTGGTCCGCGGCGCGGGAGCCTCTCCATTCTTCGCCAAGCCAGGGAACGCGCGGCCGGGGGAGGCGGTGAGACATCGTCCCGGTTGGTTCTCAGTTCTTACCAAAAATAGCGGCCCTCTGGCGGAACTGCTCGCGCCTTGCCGCGCGCTCCTCTTCCTCGCGCTTTCTCTCCTCCTGCTCCATTCGTATCTCGTCCTCGAATTTGCTCGATTTTCTCAGCTGCTCGATCTGCAAGCAAAGGAAGAGAGTTACAAAGTGGCAATAAAGAGGCTTCGTGGCACATTTAGCACCCTTGGACAGCACAGGCCAAGACATCGCCAAACATCGCCCGATGTCTCATCCTCGGCCAACGAGCAACGAGAGGAAAAACTTGATCGCGCGCGGGCGCACTGTTTTTCACCTCGCCAAGGAAGCATGAGATGCGCCTGCCTACGCGAGATTCCGTCCGCATTCTTTTTCAAGCTCGAGGATTAGCAATATATCCCGCCACGGGAATCCATAAGTATGCGTTTTCTGTTTTTCTCCTTCGTCCTTCTCCTCATCTTCGTCTTGTTTTGTTTTATTTTGTTCGGTTTTGTTCTGTTTTGTTTGCCAGGATAAAGACGGGAAAGCGCATTCCCGACTGGTTTAACAAATTATCTACACTATCCTTGGATAACAAGATAATAAGGACAAACAATAAACTACTGTAAAATTGGCATTTTAATATTTATTTCCCATTGAGAATCGACAAACCGCGTAATTATCGGCAAATTGATTTTCTAGTAACATTTTTTTTTTTTTTTTTTTTTTTCATGCCTTATCGCGATCGGGGAGGGGCGAGGCCGCTATTGGAAGCCCAAAAGTATCAATATTGCGTGAGGTATAAAGCGTTAGTTTCCGATGTTTTGTAACTCCTATTCCGCTCGTGTCGAGCTTCTGCTCCCGTACATGTATTCACGTGTTATCACCTTTTAATACAACGATATCCGGAGTTAGGAGAACATTGCGCATACACGTAGGAGAAATAAATTCGTACTATTACGTTTAATTGGTCGTGAAAAAGTGACGGAGCAATAAGATCAAAACTTGAGATAAAGCAAGCACTGAAATTCGCAGAAGCGAACGTATAAAGAAGTATGTCTTAATATGTCTTACCTTGGCTTCGAAGAAGTTTTTCGCGCCGGTGACGCCAACTTCGTCCACGTCGACTTCGGTGAGACGCGCCAGCTGGCCTAATCCGGAATCTTGTTCGAGTTCACCGGCTCGGGCTTTCCGGTAGATCAGAAGGAACTGCAAGCAAAACGACAATTTACATTTCGTATTCGGCGGCTTCGATTCCTGGCAGCCTTGGCTCTTCGTCGTAGCCTGCCATTTTCATGGACAGAGCTCAACGAAATACCGCGATAATAATATCCGCAATAATAATGTCGCTTCAATGTAATTTACTTTAGACTGCTGTGAGAGTCGTGCGATTCGCCGAAAAATCTATGGGACATTCGATCGTTGTTGCCTGTACAACGTTTTCTTGGGAAATTTTTATCCACATCCTCTTATATTTTTGAACGCTCTATCGCTTATCAATTACAGTATTATAAAAGTAAATGGCTATTGTTAAAAGATTACGTGCAAACCGTGTCAATCTTATGTCAAAGCTTTAG